CAGGGGGCAGCCGGTCTCCCAGCAAAGCCCTGCACTGACCACTGTAGAAGACCCCAGGCTGCCCCCCTCCCCTGAGGGCCACACACTCAGTGTGCGGTGCCCCAGCCTGCCACGAGGCCCAAGCCACTGCTTGGACTGTGTGTGTGGAGTCTGTGGACGGACGGCGTCACGCCCGGCAGCGTGGATGCTCCACTTGGCTGGACCCGGTGACAGCGCCGAGGACAGAGTCACGGGAGGGGGGGAGGGGCGCTCCGTGGAGATGGCGCAGGCTCGTGCAGGGAGTCGGGCACCCCCTTCCAGAACTGAGAGACGGCCTGGCACCAGGTCCGCCATGCGGAGTGAGCCAGCAGGGGCCGCCGCCGGCGCCGCCGGGGACACAGCCTCCTTTCCTAACGCCATTTCTGTTGACACAAAATGTGTGGACCATATGGAGTTCAGTTCTGAGTTCCAGTTGCTTTTCCCCATCTCCTCTCTCTCTTTCTTTTTTTTTTTTGTTTCCTTTTGGATTTCAGAAGCTGTTCTCTTAGCAACTGCAAAAAAAAAAAAAAAATGTACACTTAATTACAGAGCCCTGGCGGCTGCGCCAGGCTGCATGCCCTTTTCTCCTCCCCTTCCAGGGTGCTCCCTTCCAGAGCGTCTGGGAGACCCGTGCCCCCTGCACCGACATTGCTCCTCGCCCCACTTCTCCCCACTTGAGCTGTCTCCACGTGGCAGCTCAGGGCACCTGCCCTGGCCTCCCCGGCCTTCCGCTGGGCTGCACATGCCGGAGACCGTGCTATACTGGGTGTCTCCGAAGATGTGTGCCAGCTGCCTGGGCTGGAGGGGAGCTATCCTGGGCAGCTTTGCAGTTTGTTTTCTCCTTTCTCTTTAAAAAGATCATGAAAGCTGCGGCGGGGGGGGGGAGGCGGAGCGCTGTTTTCTGGGGGTCATCTGTGGGACACGCACCGCGGCCAGAGGAGCGATCTCTCGTGTCTGATGGTCTCAAAAGGAAATATAGGTCACGTGCAGAATTCCAGCACGCTGAGACAGGCTGCTCCTTAGCGATCTCCCTTTTGACTTGCTTACTAAATCTGCTAGCAGACAAACACAATTGGCTTTTTCTTTAAAAATTAAAAAAAAAAAAGCAGTAAAGCACAGTGCATTATATTTAGCCACGCGCGCCCGGCACCAGCCGGCTTTCCTTGGATAACCGGAGCCCCAGCGCGCAAATGCCTCCCGTGTGTGCGCAGCACCCCGCGGGGTTAACCCTAGGTGGTACCACTTCCCCGGTGCCCTGCTCACGGAGCAGAGTGGCACCGCTCACATGACAAGCGCCGCCAGAGGCAGCCGGCGCTAAGAGCAGCGTCTACACACAGTGGCTTCAGCTGACAACATGGGGTGGGCTTCGTCACCAGCGCGCCGGGACCGGCGTGCCCGGCGATGCTCGGGGCTTCACCGTGCCCAGATGCCCGCCGCCGCCGGAGTCCCAGCTGTGCCGGCTCCAAGGGGCTGGGCTGCCCGCCTAGCCTTTCTCCCTGCCCGGAGGGTTATATAATGAGCCGGCCACCGCCAAAGTCAGAGAGAAAATGAAGTCTTTGTTAAATGCCTTCACCAAGAAGGAAGGTAAGACGTGCGGTGGGGGGGGCTCGGCTGAGGAGCCGGAGCTGCCTGCTCCCCGTTTCTGGGGGGAGGGAGAATCTGGTGTGCCTGAAATTGCCGGTTGTCAGTCTGTCCCTTGCAAGGAATAATGACTTCCCATTACCATAGGGCTTGGCTTTAATCCATCCGAAGGATTAACGGGCTGGAGGTGCCTGTTCATTTCCTCGGGATCTTAAGCCTCTGGCAGAAATGCATTCCTCAGTGTCCACCTTGGATTCTGTGCCGGAGGGTGGCTTAGGATCTGAGTCCTAAGAAAGGAAGGAAGTTTTGACTCCAGTCCGCCCGCCACCTGGAGGGCCCGCCCGAGCACCTGCCATGGGGTCCCGGGCACGGCCGCTCCCAGGGCTATTTCCCAGCTCTGCACGGCTGGCCCCGGCTTGCAATCACATGGACTGGGCAGAGAAATGGCTTGGCAGACTTTAGAAGTACCTCAGCTCTTTGTCATACCTGGTGTGGTTTTTACTGTGGGGAGGGGTATATATGTATGTATGTGTATCTCTGTGTGTGCACGTGTGTGTGTGTGTATATATATATATATATTTTTATATATATGCATATAAGACAGCTAAGAAAATATCCACCCACCTAGAGTTTGCAGACTGCCTGAAAGAAGGAAAGAGTTGGGTGGAATATTAATCACGTTCAGACAGGAAAAGAGTTATTTTTAACCCTTTTCTCGCGCGCACACGCACACACACACACATGCACACACTGTCATTTCCATGGGCAGACGGTCTTCTCAGACGGGGAGCTCTCTTTGATGTGAAATTTGAAGATTTCTAACAAGGCCACTTGGAAAAAAAAAAAAAAGTAGAAAGACATCTCTACACCTCTTCCCTCTCCCAGACCAAGTTCATCTCAGCACAACCAGCAAGGAGATTCACCCCGGCCCAGGGATCCTGGGGGTCGGGGGGGGCAGTTTCCATCTCCGTTCATCTGTTCTGTCTGACGTCACCGTGAGGAGCGCCGGAGTCACGGGGTCTGGGGGGAGAAGTGCGCGTGGTGAGAGTCCCGCTGAGCCCCCTGAGGTACAGGGCGCCCCGCACCCGGCCCCGGGGCTACACCGTGCGGACCTGTGCGGGGCAGCCTTCGCCTGCATCCGTGTTCTGGTGCGATTCTCTAAAAGCCACCATGGGGGATGGGGGGCTCAGCTTCCATCGCTCTGAGCAGAGTGCACGGTTCCGCTGTCCCGTGCCCTCCCCCCCTTGGCCCCAGCTTGGGGAGTCTGCTCTCAGGGCGTTCTTCCACAGACTTGTCTCCTGATGTGCCTGTTTTGGCCATAGCCAGCCTGCCTGACCCGTCATTTTCCCTCTGAGGGTGTCAGTACCTCCCCCCGTGTGATCAGAACACAGAAGAGCCTGTTCTGTGGGAGGGGCCAGGGGGCACGGCACCAGAGCCACCGGCCACCGGGCCTGGTGGTGCCTGAGAGCCAGCCCCGGCCTCACCCTGTGGTCCTCCTGGAAGCCCAGGCCTCCGGGACCACGTCCCACTCGGCTCTTGACTTCACGCCTACGGGAGCCTCTGATCTCAGCCAGCATTGGCTCCGGTTCTGGCTCCGGCCAGTCTTGGAATCCCCCCGTTTGGTGGTTCCGAGGTCCCCGTGCTCCAGCCCTGGGGGTGAAGGCTCTCTTCAGGGCCTCCCTGCACCTGCAGCTCCCTGTGTGTGGTCTCAGTCCTGCCTGCTCAGGTCTGCAGACCCAGATCAGACCCTTGTTGGCCCCGCCTAGTGCTCAGCTAGGTCCTGTGCTTCGTCCTGTGCGCCGGGCTCAACTCTGCCGGGCACAGCCTCTGGCTCTGGGAGAATGCCACCGCCGTGGTTAGTCTGGCCCCCTCTGACGGGGGCCCTGTTTTAGCTTGGTTTGCTGGAGGAATTAGCGGGATGGAGCCGGGCTGCTCCTGCGGGTTCTTCCTGCCGCTGGTGAATCAGGGTGGGTGAGGGGCCCTGCCACCCACTTAGAAAGGTGTGCATCTCCCGGTGGACCGTCCTGGTCCTGAGCCAGAATGCCAGGTCCCAGGCCTGGCCCCGGGAAACCTCCCGCTACCGCCGGCCGGCTTGCCCACCTCAGCTCCCACCTTCCCTGGGTCACCGCCGGCCTGGGAGAGAAGTGCCAGGGCCATGTCTGTGTCCCCGCAGCTCTCCCAGGACCCCACCCGTCCCCCCAGCCTCTGCCAGGGCTCCGAGCTCTGCCAGCCGGCTCTCTCCCGCCACGCCTCCATCCTCGAGAGCATGCTGGCCTGGTCAGAGCACCGGCCCTGGTGTGGGTTCTGTGACGCTGTACACACATAGGTTTGTGTGATTCACCTCACTGCGGCCTCGGACCTGAGGTCTGTGTCCTGAACAACCCATGACATGCTTTCCTTTCTGCCCAGAAAGCTCTCCTGGGACCCGCTCCCATGGGCGAATGGGCAAAGCCCTGGCCGGGGGCAGAGCGGGCCTTAGACCTCCAGGGTGGGAATCCGGGGACAGCCGCCTCAGGTGCCCACAGGCGCTGTCCGGGTCTAGTGGCATTTGCTGGGGTTGCAACGCTGGGCGGGCAGGAGGAGGCCGCTCCGGGAGGGCTGGACACACCCTGCCGCAGGCTGCAGGTCGGCCTGGCCGGCCTGGCGCCGTAACGCTGACCCCTGGCGCCGTAACGCTGACCCCTGGTGCTGTAACGCTGACCCCACGCCTGGGCGCGTCGAGCAGCAGGTGCTGTCCCCTGTCCTGCAGGTGCGGCGGGTACGCTCCTCCCAGCCTCTCGACGACCTCTCTCCCTGTGTCCTCCTCTCCCTCCTTCCAGGGAACTGGTGAGGCGGGCCCCGGGCCCACCCTCCTGACCCGCTCTGACCTGACTAGCTCTACCCGGGCCTCTCCCCACGCACAGCCGTGCACCGAGGGCCCGGGGTCCGCCTTCCCCCAGGACTCGCGGGCTCCCAGGCTGCCTGTTGGAGGCCGTGTGTGAGCGAGGGCTCAGGAGGAGAGGCTGGGCAAGGGCTGGTGGCCAGTCCTCACACCAGTCAGGCCGGGGGCGTCCCCCCAGAGTGTCGGGGGGGGCGAGACCTGATGGAAGCAAGGCCCGAGTCCCTTCCATCCAAGGCTGTGGCTTGAGCTCGCGTGCGTGGAGATGGCCCTGACCTCCACCATCTCTGTGCTTCGTGTGGTGCCTGGGCCAGGGCCTGTGTGGGGCTGTGTATCCTGCAACCCAGGCACACGGGTAGGGGCTGGGGTGCATGGCCTCGGGGGTAACGGGCTAGGGCCTGTGTGGGGCTGTGGATCCTGCCACCCAGGCACAGGGGTAGGGGCTGGGTGCGTGGCCTCCGGGGAACTCTGCTTCTGGATGTGCGCACACACTCCTCACTCTTTCCCGTTCTCTCCCATCCAGTGCCCTTCCGAGAGGCCCCGGCCTACTCCAACCGCAGGCAGAGGCCCCCCAACACTCTGGCCGCCCCCCGGGTCCTGCTGCGCTCCAACAGTGACAATAACCTGCACGCCGGCGGCCCCGAGTGGACCGTGTGCCCCGGGGCCCCCTCCCACCGCAGCCTCTCCCCCCAGCTGCTGCAGCAGGCCCCCGGCAAGCCGGATGGCGCCGCCAAGAGCCTGGGGGGCTACCTCCCAGGACCCCGGAGCCGCTCCCCGACCCTCAACAGGCTGGCCGGCGTCGGCGAAGATGGCAAGAGACCCCAGTCGCACTGGCACGTGGGGTAAGGCGCGGCGGGGCGGGCAGGGGCCACAGGGGTCAGGCGCGGCGGGGAGGGCAGGGGCCACAGGGGTCAGGTGCGGCGGGGCGGGCAGGGGCCACAGGGGTCAGGCGCGGCGGGGAGGGCAGGGGCCACAGGGGTCAGGTGCGGCGGGGCGGGCAGGGGCCACAGGGGTCAGGCGTGGCGGGGCGGGCAGGGGCTACAGGGTCAGGAGGGCTCCACACACGGGATGTCAGCTCTCTAGCATGGACTGCCCAAGGAAATGGGGGGCTAAGCTGTACCCCACCCCTGCAGAGCCCCCCTGGGCCTGGAGTCCGAGATGACAGTTGTGACACTGCAGGCCGGGGTCAGGCCATGCTGGGTTCCCTAGGGTGGCTGGTGTCACGGGTGGTGGCCTCGTGCCCTGTCCTGTGTGCTGGTCTCTTGGCATCTCCAAGTGGAAAGGCAGGAGGGGGTGGGCACGGGGGCCGGGGGCCGGTGGTGCCGGTGGCCAGCACCTTTCCAGCACTGTGATTGCTAGTCCCAGCCAGAAGGGCAGGAAACCCAGCCCGGGTGAGGAAACAGACGTATCACAGTTGCTGGGCCTCAGAAGGCAGGCTAGGGTACCCCTGGGACCTCCAGCTCAGGTCTGGGTCCTGTGTCCCCCACTGCTCACGGCAGCCGGGCCCTGGGTTCGAGCTCAGTGCGCCAACACCTAAGCACCAGCCTCCTGTCACTCTGCCTTCCGACTTTCTTGGGCAAGGATGGGATTCGCGGAGTTGGCTCCTTGCTGGGGGACCATTCGGCCAGGGACAGGGGGCTGGGGGGGGCAGGGGCAGGTGCCCTGACTACAAATGCCTGTAGGCTGTCACCTGGCCGTGCTTGGACCCGGGACCCTGGGTCTGTGGTCTGGCAGTGTGGCATCCCTGTAGGCCCAAGCTGTGCTGTGGGCCCGGTGATAGGGGAAGTCTCCTTTGGTGCCGGTGCCCTGGGCCCCACCCTGCCGTGAGCTCATCTTTCCCCCTGAGCCCCGGCCTGTCTGTAGGGGGTCGTGCTGACACCGGCCATGATCAGGGGCTTCAGACAGGAGGCCTGACCCACAGCCCCACAGCTCTCCATCAGGCAGGCTTGAGGGAATCACCTGAGATCATGCACACTTCCCTGCCCCAGTGAGGCCTGGTGTAGACCCAGCTTTGGGCAGCTTGGAGTCGGGAAGGCCCGGGAGCCAGGAACAGTAGGAAGCTTGATTAGAGGCTCCCAGACAACCCTGGCCTGAAATGTGGCGATGGTTCTCATGGGTGAAATCCAGTGAGCCCAGAGGCTGCAGGGCCAGGGCGGGGTGTGTGTGTGTGTGTGTGTGTGTGTGCGCGCGCGCGTGTGTGTGTGCGTGAGTGTGCATGAGTGTGAGCATGTGTGTGTGCATGTGTGTGTGCGTGTGTGTGCGCGCGCGCGTGTGTGCGTGTGTGTGCGCATGTGTGTGTGAGTGTGTGTGTGCGCGCACGTGCTGCTGCCCAGGCTTCCTGGAATTCCTCCTGCCTGTCCCACTGAGCTGTTGTACGCCTTGGCACACGCCTCCTGTGCCGCCTCTTTGTGGATTCTGAAATGAATTCTACAGATGGACTTGAGGTCATTCTCAGGGTTGAATGGAGGAATGTAGGCCAGGTGCTCAGCACGGCCTGGCTGTCCTAAGGGCCTGTTCTGTGTCACCCCGAGAACTCAGATACACGTCCAGCCTCGGCTCAGAGCGGCCGGGCCTGCCTTCTTCGTGCCCCAGGCTGTGGGATGGGGTGATTGGCCATGCACCTTTCTTCCAGGACATGAGACTTGGCAAAAATTGGGGCATCCAGCCCCCTCTCTGTCTGTGCAGATTCGGGAGGGCACCGCGGCCGGCCGGGCTTGAGGGCCGCCCTGTGCGCCCTTCCGCTGTGCTCCACCTTCCTTCCGTTCGTGTCTGTGGGTCCCAGGAAGGTTTAGGAAAGCTTCCCACGGCCACACGGGGCAGGGGGCACCCTCGTCCAGGGACCGATGCCGGCTCGTGGCAAGGGGCAGGAGGCATGCGGAACCTGGCTGGAGGAGAGCGTGCCCTACCCAGGGCGGGGCCTGGCCCGTGGCCAGCGGTCCCCCCTCCCCCCTCCCCCGCACTCTGTTCCTGGTGTGTGTTCTGGAAGGCCAGCCACTGCTCCCCTGGGGCTGAACTTGCTCGCCACAGGGTGGTGAGGGCCAGCCTGGATGGGTCGGCCACCCCCAGCCTGCCCACCGCCACCCCCCCACTCCTGCTGCCCCTCACTCTCCTGGCCAGGACTCTAGCCTCGGCAGGGGCATCTCCTGGAGAAATGAGCCAGCCTCAGCGGGAAGCAGGACACGGAGTTCAGAGGCCCCTGGCAGGCTGGGGTGGGGCTGGGCTGGGGCTGGGGCTGGGGCTGGGGCTGGGCTGGGGCTGGG